GAGAACATTTCATACCGGTTTACCGGTTTACTTGGTTCAAGTATTTGTTACTTGGTTTAGTTGGTTGTTATACATTATGCGTATAAAATCAATCCAATGTATAAATACTGTAAATGAACATTAAAGATGAATAACAGAAAATCATTTCTTCAATATCTTCGTCTTCTTCCTTGAGCTACTCTGAGCTCTAACATATTAGAAGTATGGGCCTAACTCACTCCCAAAAGCTAGCTCAAAGGAGGAGGATTGCCACACTTATATATTGCCCAAGAATTGGAATCCTAGTCGATGTGGGACATTTAACACCCCCTCACGTTCAGGACTGGACATATGAAACGTGGAGTTTGTGGGACTGGACATCCACGGGTGGTCCACAATCAAACTTAGGCCCGCTCTAATACCATATTAGAAGTATGGGCCTAACTCACTCCCAAAAGTTAGCTCAAAAGAGGAGGATTGTCACACACTTATATATTGCCCAATAATTGGAATCCTAGTCGATGTGGGACATGTTACACCAACTAAACAAATAAAGCACACCTGTTAATTAAAGACGAAGAAGAAAAATGGTGCATAATGTAAAGGACTCGACCCTTCAATAACTATAGTTTTAGCTAACCCTAGTTTTAACCACAAGAGCTTCCAAGATTTTTTGTAGATCCTGTTACTACACAGCTACACTTGAGAAGTTTTCACTTTAATTGATAAAAATTGAATATAAAAGGCCAAAACAATCGAGTGCTTTCTTTCCTAGCGTCCGATCAACGCGCCTAGAGTAGAGTCCGGAGATGATGAACATACGAAATTGATGGACGAAAGGAAAAAAATGGTTTCTGTATGATACATGAGAGTAGCTTTTTCCAGGAACATTTATATTTACAAAACCTTACTGTGAACAATACAAAAGCAAACGCTAAAAGTAGTTCGAAGGATCAAAACGTGTTCTAGGAAATCCAATATTTATTCTTTAATTAATAAATTTGAACATATGTTTAACAAAATATATTTATACTGAACTTGTATTACGAACATATTTGACTATAAAACTGTTTGAATGTTTATTAGAATAACCGGAACATAATACATCCACTGAATCTTTTACATGCTAAAATTTTGTTTATTAAAATAGCAGAATAATAATACATCCACTGCATCTTTTACACGTTGCAGTTTTGTTTATTAAAATAAACAGTCTTTGATTTGAGGTCGTAGCCCAAGTTGTAGCCTTGCATAGCTACGGCTCCGATGATGTTGATATCTTTTTCTTGTTCTGAGTCAGAGTTTTTGTTTACGGTCAAACAAAGGGTTCCAGGAGAGCCATTAGGCAAGAACAAACTTGTCATACTCACGAATAATTCGGCTTGTCCGGCAAATATGAAGCCAACATCAATCTGATCTGGTATTTGTAGAATTTCCGCTTTGTAGCATAGAAATGGTCCATATGGCACTGTTGTAAATGTAATATCCTACTAGCTTTTTAACTTCACCCACGATAAAATCGTATAAATCTCCTGACAAGTGAGATACCATTTAGCCGGTGTCAAGATATACGGCCTGGATTGTGTCGTTCACGGTTTTTAATTCCTCACCAACAAGAATGAACTCCAGTGTACACATATAATGGCCTCCCGTGATATTAATTTCGGTCGGATTACCCTGTAGATTTGCACCATCACCAAGGATTAAGTTGTGAGTGGGTTTACTTTCCCTTATCCAACCGAAACAAAGCGAAAATTTTGACCCGAGCTTCTCTACGAGGGAGAAGTTTCCAGCCGCGAGGCCTAGTATGCCCGTTCCTATATAGTCTTCACCCACGGCTTGATCGTTACACCCAAAATGAACGTCGTATACCACTTTGAACTCACCATTCCGCAGCTGTAATGTAATCATTTCTTCAGCAAGTCTGCCTCGAATTAGATTTCCATCTACATATGTTTGCTCGTAGCTGCATACTCCACTCGAATCAGAAAAGCTAAACTTTGGATTCGAATTGTTCGCCGTTGGTTCACACTCCGCATCACGGTAGGTATTTGAGTCTTCGGGCCAATACTTTGGATAAATGTGATCAACAAATGAATGGGATGACGGGAAACATTGTGTCCATGTAAGACTGCTTCCGGTATCGACGTGAAGATACTGCCGTATGGAAGGGGAGCCAAAGTATACTTCGGCTATAAAAGCTAGCCCTCCGTACTTGTGTGGTGCCATGGTGGGAGGGGCAATAACTTTGCCATCTTCAATATTAAATTTCTCAAAGTAGTTTTCACGAGAAACGTGAAAAAGAGGAATTTGGATTGAGTTTTGTTTTTCTTTAGCTTTTACTGAGAGGGAGAGAAATAGAAAAACAAGAAAATTTATTGGGATTTTCATTTGGACAGAGACTGAAAATCCCAATTAAAGGATAACCGGAGTTTTGATATAGAAGTGAAAAGAAAAAGCATCACGATGATTTCATTTTGAGAAAGGATGGCCGGAGTTTAATTGCATGTATTACCAAACGTCATGCCAACCTATAATTTGAACTTTTGAAGTGTCGAGTCTCGATTTTCAGTTTATATTATTTACATTTTTTTTTTTTTTTGGATTTTCGGTTTAAGTAGTATCAAAAGTAAAGGACAAAACCGGCTATAATAATTATAATAACAGTTTTGGTTTTAATTCAAATTTGGGTTTAATCAACTATACAAT